TGTCCTAAAATGAACTCATCATGACTTTCCCTTCCAAGCTGTTTTTGTTCCTTTTTTTTGGGCGGTACTGGGGTTTGAACTTAGGGCTAATACCTTGAGCCACTCTGCCAGCCGTTTGTTGTGATGGGTTTTTTTGAGCTAGGATCTCGAGAGCTATTTGCTGAGACTGGCTTCAAACCCCAATCCTCCTGATCAGCTGGCATTACAGGCATGAGCCACTGGCACCTGGCTCCTATAATCTTTTATCAAAGACTTACCATCCTGTTATCCATCTAGTTTCCTGCTCTAGAAGCAGGAGTCATCCTATTTGTAACATGTTTAGTCACCCTTCCTATAGATTCTCTAAGTCTTAAATCCACCCCTCAATTCGTCCTCAAGTACATTTGCCTGAGTTGTTAACACAAGCTCTAAATTAACCCCCTATTCTCTAAGCAAATTCTCTATGTCATCCATTTTGTGCACAATAACATAAACGTGTATGCATGGTCCAATGACATTAACATAGTAATTGTCTGATATAGTAGATTTAGTCATAATATTTTCTGTATTTACCAAATGATCCACCAAAATTGTGCAAAAAGCAAAAAAACAGAAGCCTATTTTATAAGGTGAAAACAGAGAAATGATACCATACCATACACCAGTGGCATATCTAGAAGACGACATCCCCACGTATGCTGAGGCCTCTGAAATACCGCGGGTCCTGGGGAGCTGGTATAAAGGCAAATCTTCTTGTTCCCTTTCAGCCACAGCAGGAAGGTCAACAAGCATGCTGGCACCTGGGACATCATTTGGAGTCATCATGCCTGAAGAGCAAATTCACAGTCATTCTTCCTTTAGCCACTCAACAAACAGCGCCCACTATGGGCAGGCAGCCTTCTAAGCAGAAGACTGATAATATTAAAGCAAGCAAGTGAAAGACTTAATGTTGGATGGTGGTAAGTACTACAGTGAAAAATGAAGCCAGGAAGGGGGATGGGATTGCTCAGCAGAGAGGTTACTGTTTAAGTATGGCTTACTGAAAAAAATGACATTTTAGCAACATTATTATTTTATCAAAAGAATTCCTTTTATGATAGTTTTCTAATCTTACTGCACATTCTCCTTTTATCAACCTAGGCTCTTCCAATTATAGGTTCTCTGACAATTAACTAAGTAAAAAAAGAAAAAAAAATCTCTCCATGGAAAAGCAAATAATCAAATAAGAATGCTTAAATTTTAAAAAGGCTTTGTTTATAAATTTCAGAATCATTTTACATCTGTTAACACATTTAATTCTCACATCAAACTGTGAGTAGAAAGAAAAAAATACTATCAACTGTTTTTTATGGATGAAGACACTCAGGTTAAGGAATTTTGCCAATTTTTACCTGGCACGTAAGCTATATAGAGTGTCATAATTTATTTAACTATTTATAGCATTTTTTGCCAAATTTTTATTAATTCTTATTTCTACTTAAGAGGGTTCATGTAGTAAGCTTGAGAGGCACTGGTGGAAGGAGGAAGACAGCTGTGGGCTTTACTTCTTGTATTCTTCCCTCGAGTTAGGTAGTATGTTGTAGGATTTTCATATTAATATAAAAAATTAGAAAAGCTATGATTTTTGTCTTTCCATTAGTTCAAATAACCTTGGAGGGGGACAGTCTGGTTTCACCACAGTAGATCATGTGCTGACATACTATGTACAATAAACATACAACATATGGACATGTGTACATGTATGCCCAGGTATAGTCATGACACACAGTCATGCAGATAATGCACAGGGTTCAACACAATGATTATCTATGGAGAGGGCATTACGCTGCATTTTAATAGTTTTACTGCTTAGAAAGAAAAGATGTGGGATGAGGAAGGAAGCTGACAGGCAAGTTACGAGGGTAGACAGGGAGTTTTCTCATTTGAAAAGATAACAACCAAACCATGTCCTTATAGACAATTTTTATGTCTATTTTGTGTTTATCTGCATTATCTTACCTCTTAGTCCTACCTGAAATATCTTTATAAGGGGCTCACATTTCACTCAATTCTCAGTCAAATGTCCTCCTACTAAAACAGCCTAGTCATGCCACCCCTATTAAATAGAAACCCACCTCAAATACTCCATATCCCCCTCAGTGCCTTACTTTCCCTCCTCATCCGTACCACAGCATTAGGACTTGCTAAGTAGGACATAGCAGCACTAGCTACCATTAGGACATGGGCTCCACAAGAGCTGACTATGTTTTGTTCACTGCTCCATCCTCACAACCCACATGGAACCTACATAGAAAGCAACTAACAAGTACCTTTGAATGAGTAAATACCTGTTTAATAAATCAAAAATGAGTTTTTAGTTAAAATGGGAGAAGATACTGTTTGCCTAAGAAGAAAGCAAATCAAAACTTCAGAGCTAATGTTATCATTAGAATGGATACTGGGTCCTTGCATCACACAGTCCATTTCACAGAGCATGTGCAATGTAAAACACTGTCAGTGAACACAGAGTAATTACAGACAGAAAAGTAGCATGGTTCAGAGCTGAGTGTGCACAGCTCAGTGCACAATGATATACAAGGCAAGGGAGAGGTCCAGGAGGCCCAGCTATGGAGCGCCTTAGTGCCTGGAAAGAACCCTGGACTTGGCAGGGCAGGAGTCTCTCCCAGAGATAATGGGGGCAACCTACAGGTTCCATGAACCATAGATTAAAAACAGTTTTTCCCTGCAATATATTTCTTTAAAATGATGTTCCTGGTAGGAAGAAATTTTAAAATATCACAAATTTCATAATCAAAGTGTTGGCTAGAAGCTCAAGCATATGAAAGATGATGAAACACTGTTTTACAAGAATGGGAGACAATAAATAATATAGCATTTATTCAAACGATAAGAAAAAATGCATACTCTTATCAAGATTACAGACATCTATTATTTGTACACTTCTTGTAAGTTTTTAAATCTTTCTGGCAGGGAACCTGAACTAAAAGAAAAAATGGTTTAATGTAAGTAACTTCTACACTTTATTTTATTCCCCATCAAACAAATGTGAGAAGACCAAAAACATGAAGTATTACTTCTATGGCTCATAGAGGAAGACACTAAAACTACAAAAAAAAAAAAAAAGAAAAAAGAAAAAAGAAAGAAAGACAAAGCTTTCGGTACATCCAACATTAATGTGGTTGTTGTTCATTTGCTTTTAAACGTTTGCTCGATGAGTGTTCAGGAAGCACCCTCCACTGCCAGGAACTCTCAGGTACTCGGGTGCACAAAGCTAACAAAGTTCCTACCACTGGGAGCCACATGCTAGTGTGGACGGACAGACTGAACACTCTGAATGACATCAGAGGCGCTAAGTTCCAGAAGGAGAAACGGCTATTTTAAATAGAGCAGTCAGGGACCTGGGGAACCCGTCCTGCTCAAATCTCTAAGTGTGCTGTGTAGAGTAAACAGTGTGAGGAGGCAGACTGGTTTGAAAAGCACAGAGCTTAAATGGTGTTTTGATTTGTCACCACAAAAATCACTACAGCTCAGCAATGTGACAAGCAGAAGAATGCGACACAGCACAGGTGCCCTTCAAACCAAACTAAACCAAACAACGCAGAGAGAAAAAAGAAAAATCCTAAAACTGAAGTCCTTCCTGTGAGCAGGGAGCACTAAAAGAAGTCCCAACTGACTTTGCCATTCCCAAATACCTTCGCTCCATCTGCTGGGGCCCACATTCCTACAAAATAGTCAAAGCATTGCCCAGCTGCTCCAGCTTTGGCTATCTGTGCCTCTTCACTGACGAGAAGGGGACCTAGATGTGGGAGCAGGACTTGGACAGGAATGGGGACAAACAGAGTTGGGAGAACAGGAACTGATTCTGTCTGCAGAGCTTCTTCCTGTGCAGCTCTGATGGTAAAAAGTAGTCTGTTAAGTCACACCATAGGCTGCACAGGTTACTGTAGTGTGTACCACTTCTCATTCCTGCTGCACACAGAGGCTGCCCGAGTCCTTTGCCCACTGACTCGTCACTAGACCCTAGTTGCTGCTCAGGCTCACATCTCTCACCTCTTAACACACACTCTACAGAGCTGGTCACCGAGTGCTTCCCAGCACCCACGAGCCCATAAAACAAATCACATCCTGGAAGGCCACTGCAGTCATTAGGTAACAGACATAACAGGGGCACAGAGGTTAGAAAAACAGGGAAGTTAAAAAAGAAATATGCGCCTGGATGGATGGAAGTTAATGCTCACAGCAGAGGAATGGGGAAACTTTTTAAAAAAGTTTATACTTGGTGTGGTACCAAGAACAGAATGGCATCAACAAAAGGCAAACAGAATCCGAATAGAGAGGAGATTGTGTGATTGTATAATGTAGCAACTGAAAAAAAAAAAACAAAAACCAAAAGTAGTGAGATGATGTTGGTATTGAATAACCACACATGAGCAGTATGTCATGCTCTCACTTAACAAATACTTCTTCAGTGTACTATGGCTACAGAAGTCCTTCAGAAGCTCAGTTTACAGCATGTGCACTGACTCTGGAGGCCAATGACAGACCCATTCAGGACAGGGAAGTTGGAAACAGGGAAATGGAGCTACTTCTGCCCAAAATCTTGTAGCACTAAGTATATTCCTCATTTGGAATTTATTGTGTGCCTTACATTGTTAGTCACGCTCATTCACAGGCTCATAGCCCATGGACAATATAAGTTCCTTCAGGATACATCATTTTGTTGGTTTTGGGTTTTGTTGTGATTGTTGTTCAGTTCTGATGGGGCTGGGGCTGAAATCTAGCATGCACTCTATCACTGAGCTATAGCCTTACTCAAGGATACCTCATTTTTTATTAACTACAGGGTCAACAGCAGCCTATTATACTTATGTTCTCAAAAATGATTTTTAAAGTAATTGTACTATAGATAAATCTCAGACTGCCTGTTCGTAATAGAGTGGAGGACTAGAGGTATGGCTCAAGTGGTAGAGCACATGCTTTGCAAGTGTGAAGCATTGAGTTCAAACCCCAGTCCCATCCTACTCCTTCCCCTACCCTCCAAACCCTGGCCAAAAAAAAAAAGCACAAGTAATAGAGTGAACTAGCTAAAGACTTGAAAGGGGTCTCAGCACCTGGTCATAATTCTTCATTTTATAATTGAGAAAATGGAGAAGCTGAGGCTTGCTTGGTGACATGGCAGGTTAATAGCTCAGCACAGAGGGCCTAGATTGAAACAGAGCCTGTTGTTTGCTGGACAGGAATCTCAGGAAGAAAATGAGAAGCAGAGTAGAGTTAACTCAATATGCATGCCACTGAAATCTGCATCAACCATGGATGGCATGAATCTACTCATGTCCTCCACATAGCATGCATGTTGGAGGTTCTCAAAATCTTTCTCTGAAAGCATGTGGTTATGAATGCTTTTCTAGTGGGGACAGTCTAAGATACATAAATTTAGTATATTCCTAAAGTTATACCTCAAACAATAAACTTAACATAGGGTCTTGCAAAGTAACAGACTAAGGCAATGTAGTGGTTGAACGGTGTCCCCTACCCCCCCAAAAAAGATATGTCCATGTTCCAGAACCTACAAATGTAACTTATTTGAGAAAAGAGTTTTTGCAGATGCAAATAAGGTAGAGCTCTTGAGGTGAGAACATCCTGGATTACTCAAGTGACTCCAAATCCAATGACAGGTGACCTTATAAGAGACTGAAGAGGAGAAGACACCACAGATGGGTAAAAAAGGAGGCCAAGTGAAGACAAAGGCAGAAAGTGAAGTGATACTGCCATATGGAGCCACCAAAAGCTGAAAGAGCAAAGACTAGACTCTTCCCTAGAGCCATCAGAATGGCTTATGAGACTGATGTGGGACTTCTGGCCCCCAGAACACTGAAAGAGATTATATCTATTGTTTTAAGCCATCGAGAGTGTGGTGATTTGTTACAGCAGCCATAGGAAGCTAACACAGGCAGTAGAAAGCATAGACAGTAACTCCGAAGTCATTTAGATGACACAACGAGCAGGGCTTGGGGTGGGAGGACTGGACCATCCCATGAGAACATCATCCCTTCCCTGTCTTCTACCCAAGTTCACTCCCTGGCACTCATCCATATATATCTAGTCAACTCCTTTCAATCCTGAGGGCACAAGGCTGTGGTTCGCAACCAAGGGCAGTTGTGCCCACAGGGAGACATCTGGCAATGTCCAAAGATATTGTGATTTTGGTCAAGACTAGAAGAGTGAGCATCACCAACATTCCAGGGTAGAGGCCAGGGAAATAGCTGCACATCCTGGAATGTACAGAGCAGTTCCCCACTCTACACAAGAATGATCTGGTCCGAGGAAGTCCAAGACTGCTGCCCAGTATCGATGGTAATCAAACAGGCTCAGTCTGTGCATTCATTTTGTTATAAATCATGAACAAGTTCTTAATATTCAGCAAACTATAGAAATGTGAATTTTAAAAAGCAGTGTACCTGGAAAGCTTGGGGGCAAAAAAAAAGTCCCATTTTCTCTCAGCCATAATCTTAAAAAATTCATAGACTCATTTAATCATAGGCATTCAAAAGCAACTACCCGTGCACTGTTCTGACCCACAAGGAACTGACGAGTGTTATCCAACCATAGATGCCTCCAATCTGTACCACTAGGATTCTGTTCTGCAGTTTTTACTCAACAGAATCCTGATCTCACATCGATCTTTCGAAAGTACTCTCTCTACCCCCACAACGACATCTCAAGTACATCAGGAGAAATGCACATGGAGGGCTTCTCTGTAAGTAGATTCACAGCAGAAGAGAGAGTGTAAATCTTCACCAGTGGCTCCACAAAGCCCGGGGCTAGGAAAGAACTCACCAGTCTTATACAGGGATGTTAATATCACAATGACACTCAGGAGTTCAGTGCTGAATGCAGAAAAGTTATTTCTTAAAGTCAAGTTTTTAAAAGTATATAGGAGTTTACATCAGGGGAGACAAGGAGAGGCATGATATTTTTAGAATTTCTTGACGGAAACTAAGCTATTAATGAACTAAAACTGACTATAATGTCTGGCTATGAAAATGTTTCATGAATGTTCTAATATGCCTCTCTTTATTAATATTTAACAGTGCCATTCAATGAGCTAACAATACCATTTAAAAGCATCAGAGATTTTTAACATACAGTAGTAGACTTATTTCAATGTAAGGTACCAGTTCATGTTTTAATCCATACTGCTAATAAAAACCAAAATTAGCCCTCCCAGAAAACAGAATCTGACATTTCTCTGTTGAAATCTGAACACAGTTGTTCTTCCAGGTGTTCTGAAGCAGACAATTGACAAGCAGATTTAAATTCAAAGCATCTGAACGAATGAAAATGTGACAGTGAAACTCACTATACACAATATAAAACAGAAAGATTGCAAATAGTCAAACTTGTGTTGTAAGAAACAAAAATCACAAACCTAAATCCAGGCTGCCTTTTGCCAATGAATTGAGATTCTCTAGATCATCAAATCTCCCATGTTGACTGTTTTCTTCAGCAGAAGGTACAGGTGGTAAGGAATCATAGCCAAAGGTTTCTTCCATCTTGAAAGGGAGAAAAAATAGAAATGCATTCCTCCTTTACGAAACAAGTTGGAACAATGTAATGTGTTCAAATCAGATAACAGTGATAGCTGAGCACTGGCCCTGCAAACAGGCATCCTTACATGCTAGTTTATCCTGCTGGGAACTTAATATCTCCAAGAGTTCATACTAGTAAAATCTGCCCTAGCCAAACACTAGATTTTTAATACAAACGTTGTTGCAGAACATACGTGGATTGAAATAAATATATACAAGGAAGAAGAGCAGACGGTTGACCACAGCAGCTGAGGTCAGTTGTTGCTGATACCCAGACCGTAAACAGCTCCACTGCAGATCCCAAAAAGACACAGTAAATTTTCATATTGCTAAGCATTCTTTTTTGCTTGTACAGTTTGTTTTTATTTTGTAACAGGGTTTTCCTATATAGCCCAGGCTGGCCTGGAACTCAAAATCCTCGTTTCATCCTCCTGAGTGTTAGGATTACCAGTGTGCCACCATGTTGCCTTGCTCTTCCTATCACTCTTACCTGCCTGATGATGACCCAAACTTAAAGCCTACAGCTAAACATTGTAGAAGCTGGGCATGGAAGTAGTACATGCCTGTAATCCAGTGCTCAGTGGCTAAGGCAACAGGACTGTGTTTGAGGCCACCCTGGGCTACATAAGTTCCCTGTCTCTAAACATCAAAACAAACAACAACAACAACAAAAATTTGTTGAAAACACAGTGCACTTTCCTCTTTTCTTCTTACACACATGTCTTTTATGGTTTTCTAAAGTTCAAAAACTGTCAGAATGCTAAAATGTTTGTGTCCTTCTAAAATTCATATGCTGAAATTCAAATCCTTGAAAGGGTTAAATATGCTATTATGACATATCAACTGCTAAGTTAAAGGCACTTGAAACACAGCAGGTGCAAAAAGATCACTTGGACCCTCCTCTGTTTAAGAGAGGAAGATGAAATCCTATTTCCTGTATGAAAGACATGCTCCCTACACAAGAAAAAGCAAGGTCAGCATCCTTAGCTTGAAGGATGAGAAGGTGAAACACAGAACACCTTACAGACCTCATTAGGATAACATCTCTTAAGACTTCTAAACTTTAGTTACACTTGCACACTGTATTATTCTTCTCCAATCCAGTACATAACTCATTCTAATTGCTCTTTGGGTCTTTATTTTTTATGAGGACTCCTATGTCACATAAAATTTGTGAAATTAATTTGTATGCTTTTTTACTGTTAATCTATCTCATGTCGATTTAATTCTAGGACTCTGCCAGGATAGAAATGGAGTTTTTCAGCCCTTATTGCCCCAAGGAGGAGGTATTAGGAGGTAGGGCCTCTTCTGAGGTGATTAGGTCAAGGGCTCTGTCCTCATGAACTAGATCAGTGCCCTTATAAAAAGAGGCCAGAGAGTGACTCTTTGGCCCTTCTACCATGTGAGCACACTGTTACAAAGTTATATTTATTAAACAAAAATCAGGCCCTTCCCAAACAGAGAACTATCAGCACCTTGACCTTGGATTTCCTGGTCTCCAGAAATGTGAGAAATAAGTACATTTTATTTATAAACTACCCAGTTTGTGGTATTTTTGTTATAGCAGCTCAGCTAAGATATACAACATAAATTTTCATCATTTTATTAGGATTTTTAAATTTTTGTTCAGAATATATGAAGTATATATTTTACAGTGATTCACTTTTTGTAGAATTATGATCAGATCTTATGAACTGGTATACCAAATACTGTCTCACATCTGTAATCCTTGCTACTCAGGAAGCTGAGATCAGGAGAAGTGAAGTAAATGTCAGTTTGGGCAAAAAGTCAGGGAGATCCCATCTTAAACAACAGCTGGATGTGGTGTCAAACATCTGTCACCCTCAATCTGCAAGACGTGTAAACAGGAGGATCCTGGCTGGAGGGGGAGATGCAATACCCTATTCTAGAAATACCTAAAGCAAAAAGGGCTGGGGGTCTGTCTGAAGTTAAGAGTGCCTACCTGGCAAGTGCAAGTCTCTTAGTTCAACTTCTAGTATCACCAAAAAGAAAAAAACCAAATCTCAATGAGACAGTACTTCACAATCTCTCTCTCTCCCTCCCTCTCTCTCTCTCTCTCTCTCTTACACACAAAACCTAGAGCAAAGAGGATGAGGAGAAACTGGAAACTGTGCATGACTGGTGGGAATGCAATGTAGTACAGCTGCTATGAAAAACAGTATGGTGTTTCCTCAAAAATAAATAAGGAATTATCATATGTTCTGGCAATTGTACCTCTCTGTAAATACCCTGTGAAAGTAGATGATACCAAGGTGAAATAGTTCTTGTCAGACCCAGACAAAAATGGAGCTGGAAAGTTAAGAGGGGGAGGACTCATGCCTGCCTATCTGAGAATGAGGTCTTTCTCAAGAAGCTTCCAAGGGTACAAAAGAGAATTCTTCTCACTCTAGCTGCACCTCATGCTTTGCAAGCCTTACAGATAGGCACAGATTTCAGTTACAAAGTTTAAGTTCTTTAAGGCTGCAACAACTTAGACAAAGTTCTTGTATTAGCTACATTCCTTCTCAGACACATCCAATCCCCTAGGCCTCTCTGGATCCAATCAACATTTACCATTCAAGGCCTAGCAAGGGCACTTCCACCAGTAAGCTCAGCCAGCCTCTGCCTCATGTCTTCAATGAACTTTATATTCAAGTAGATCATGCTAATTTCTCCCTTTTTAAAAACTTCCCCTTGCCTCAACCTCCTTGGACATGCCCAGTATTTAGTATGGCACATGTAATCCCACTGAAATGCTGTCATTCCCAAATCTGTACCATTATTCTCTGAAGAATTTCTGATTGTTACTTAGACTGACAACCAAAAGGAACTGAAAGCAGTTCTGTATCTACTGAGGTTCACAGCAGCATCCACAAAGATCAAAGGTAGAAGGAACCCAAATATCCAAATATCCACCACCAAAGAATGGAAAGCAAAAAATGGCATGTGTGCAGGGCCCTCTTGGAATCCCGCAGTCGGTATGGATGATTTTACGCTAAAGATATTTAAGATTCAAAAAATGCAAAGAGAAGCCCTCTTAGAGCTTCCCTTGTATGATTAAAAGCAGCAACTGTGGGAAATGAGACTGTCAAATGTCAAAGAGGTCCGAGGTCCGGTCCACTACCAAGAAGAGTAAGCCTACTATGAAACCTCTCTTGAAGAGTAGAAAGATTGATCATTTGTTCTTCTGAAAACCCACTGTCTTTCCTAAACAAACAGAAAAAAAACCTTTTTGTTCTTTCCATAGAAACCATTCCTTTTCCTCTTGTTAATGCCTTTTGTCACTTTAATTTGCACTCTCCCAGGCATGAACCAGAAAGCAGAGGAAATGTTTGGTTTTTTTCCTTCTAACATATACATACAAGGGGGAATTACTGGGCTCCAAAAAGGAAGTTTTAATAAATAGTACAACGTGGATGAACTTTGAAGACATTGTGTTAAATGAGGTAAGCAGACACATAATAATAAATATTGCCTGACTCCACTTCTAACAAGTACTCAAATTCGTAAATAGAAAATAGAATGGTGGCTGGTAACCGGGGACGGGGAGAGGAGGTTATTGTTCAGTGGTATAGTGTTCCAGTGATGGGAGATAAAAAATGTGTGAAGACTGATGGGGCACACAACAAGTGTATTTAATACCACTGAACTGCACACCTAAGCATGATTTAAATGGTAGATTGAAGGTTATGTGTTTTACCACACTTACAAAAAACTAGACCTACAAACCTTTAAGTCTCACTCTTAAACTAAAAGGACATATGAAGGTGGTGGAGAATGACAATTTTTGAAGCATTCACGTAGTGCTGTACTACACAAACACAGCCACATCTGTAGCCCAAAATGGGTCCTGCAAGCAAGGCACAAATGACGTCTCTCCACCCTTCTAGAGGGGCCTCTCTAAAGCAGGAACTGCGAATTACGCATTTGTTAGACATTTGAATGTGCTTTCAAAATTCTCTCAGGGCTTGCAGTATTAGATAGTATTACAGGTTAAGAATCTCCTCATTTGAAAATACTAAATCCAAAATGCTCCAAAATCCAAAACTTTTCGAGTACCACATGACACAATAAGTGGAAAATTCCACACCTGACCTAGCATAGGGGTTTAAAACAAAAATGCAATAACACTTGTTTTGCTTTTTTTGGGGGGCAGTATTTGGGTTTGAACACAGGGCCTCATGCTTGCTAGGCAGGGCAATAACACTAAAAGCACTGTAGACAAACACCTACTGGCTACATGTGTAAAGTATGCAGGAGACACAAATGAACTTTGCTTTTAGATGTGGGTCTCATCCCCAACATACTCCTTGAAGAATATATAAATATCTCAAAACCCTAATCATTCTGATCTCAAGCATTTTGGATAAGGGATACGTGACCTGTACTAGATAACAAATTATCACCTTGGGGGTCCATTAGTAATGAGAGGTGGGCCAATAAAGATGCAGGCCCATCCTGATAGTGTGGGTATGAACTATCATCACTGGGAGGGAGGAAAAGCGTCAATGACCCAAGCAAGGAAAGATAACTACTTAAGGAAAATAAAATACTCTTGAGCAACATCCACTGGGGCTTAAACAATCTTTAACTATACATTCTATAACCTTATCCTTAGATGTGAGAATAGGCCAGAAAATTAACATTGTACGGTTTTAAAATATGAATGGTCAATATACAAAGTAAATACTATAAATATACATTTGGTTATTTTATCTATAGTCTTAAAAGTTTATATATTAACATAGGCTGATAATTTAGGTAGCCTTTATTTGGGGAAATTGAAAAAAAATTCTTTTTATTGAAGAGAACAGCAATAATGAGCAAGTAAGGGGAAACAAAAAGAAGGAAACTAGGAAATTTAACCCAGGCTTAGTAAGAGGGTGCGTGTCCTTCAAATGTAAGCATTGATTATTGTCTTAAACAGGCCTTTAAAAAAACACGTCACTAAATGAGAGTGAGCCATCACCCTGCAGAAAACAATGATATAAGCAGATAAGAGGGACTTCCAAAAATCCTAATGCTATACAAAGAGAGCTTGAGGTAAGGATGAAATTTTGAGTGAGAGCATGGATTCAAAATTTGCTGTTATTTCAATGCCCTAGATGAAAATGAAGATGATATATTTGGAAAATGTGTTAAATAGTAAAAAAAGAAAGATTCTAGTGAATGTTGATACTTTCTTTGGTGGTGGTGGTACTGGGGTTTGAACTCAGAGCTCTCACAAGCGCTCTACCACTTGAACCATGCCCCCAAGCCTTTTTCTGCTTTAGTTATTTTTTGGATAGGGTCTCCCATTTTTCCAGGGCTGGCCTCAGACCCAATTTTCCTACTTTTGCCTCCTGAGTTGTCAGCCATTGTGGCCAGCTGATACTTTCGCTAAATATGCACTATAATAATTTGAATAAAATATTAAATGTGATAAAAGGTAAAACTTTTTTTTTTCCCTTGATCTAATGTCCACATATGAGAGAGAACATACAATTTTTGGTATTTTGGGCCAGGCTAACCTTACTCAGAATTCATTTTAAAGGTTTTAAAATACAAATTTTAACTAAGCAAATTAAGTATATATTACCAGTATACATCTGAATATTTCATCTACATCCTTAAATGTTTGTATATTTAAAAAGATCAGTATTTCAGGTTGCCTCTTACTTGAATAGAAAAAAAATTTTGTAGGAAAATCTGCCATCACAAGTGGGTATTTATGCATCTTCAATAATCTCTAATTCCAATTTGCTCATGAAAGTCGATATAGTTTGGGGCTGTACACTTGTAGGAAAGGGACTGGCAGACATAGAAAGTACCAATGTAACCGGAACATTCTAGATGATTCTGTCACCTCTTCCATCCAGGAGCATTCACAAATTCCAAACAAATCTGATTCCTGCTAGGCTGCCCAGAGCCCTCTACCATGGAGAGTCCTCCAGGGTCCCAAAAACACAGCTAACATAGCACCTTGCCCAACACAGGGACCCACAAGACTTGCAGAAGGGAAGAACAGAGGAAATGTCTGGGGGAGGCAGGGGAAGAACACTGTTTACTGGCCCTGTGGGAGGGCAAAGGAAGGTCTGCACTGCCTGCCATGACAGAAGAGGTGCCAGGCTGGCACGGAGCAAAATCTTGCCTCCGGATATCCTACTAAATTGACTTTTTCAAAACATCTCTGAACAGTGACTATCTTTTCATTTGTCTGAAAATTAATTCAGGGAAGAAACAAGTGAATAAAAATAAAACAGTAAAAAATGTCCCTAACGAGGTCAGGTGTGGTGGCTCATGTCTATAATCCTAGCTATTCAGGAGGCAGAGATTGGGAGGATTGGAGCTTAGGGCCAGCAAAGGCAAAGTTCTCACGACCCCATCAACCAGTAAAAGCTGGCTGTGGTGGTACATGCCTGTCATCCTAGCTAAACAGGAAGTGTAAACAGAAAGATCACCACCCAGGCTGGGCTGGGCATAAAGTGAAATCCTATTCAAATAATAACTAAGAGCAGAAAGGGCTGGGGGAGTGGCTCAAGTGGTAGAGTACCTGAGTTCAAACCCCAGTAGTGCAAAAAGAAAAACACAAAGCCTCTAATGAAAGACTCCTACTGGTGACTGGTTGACTACAAGTTTAGAAAAAAACAAAGTTTACTGGTGATTTAATATCAAGGGCAAACCTTCCAAGTTGCAAATAAACAGTGTCTCAAATGGAGAGATGGTTTTCTAGTCTTCATCGCTTCTCTGTGTCATATATAGTGGAGGGAACACTATGTACGGCCAAGATATAAATAACTAACAGTATTTTTAAAAAATCAATTTTGCCTTTATTTTCCCTAATCAACATGCTACATGAAAAATATACAACTATGTTCCCCTAGGTAATTTAAAAGGAAATCTTCAGGTGCTGGTGGCTCATGTCTGTAACCCTAGGTACTCAGGAGACAGCGATAAGGAGGATCAAGGTTCCGAGCCAGTCTAGGCAAATATTTTATGAGACCCTATCTCAAAAAAACCCATCACACAAAAAAAAAGGCTGATGGAGTGGTTCAAGCTGTAGGCCCTGAGTTCAAACCCCAGTACTGCAGGAAAAACAAAAAAAGAAAAAGACAATCACAAATGTTCAAAGAGCTCTTCCTTGAAGTGAGTAGTAAGGCTTAGTGAAGCTGGGCATGGTAGTGCACACCTGTAATTCCAGCACTCGAGAACTGAGGCAGGAGAATGCAAGTTCAAGGCTTGCCTCCTAAGTTACACAGGACGATTCTGCCTTCAAAAACAAAAACAAAAAAAAGGCACAGTGAAAACCCACTACAGCAGCAAGACAGCTCCAGCTTATTGATTCCTGTGAAAAGATAGGTGACCCAAAATAAATGACCTTATACAGTCTACAGGAGATCTTGTAAACCACCATTCATTGTGAAAAGACCTATTAAATTTTTTGCTTTGCTTTGTTTTATTTCTGGAAAGTCACATGAGGGAGAGATGGGAAGAGGCAGGGGTGCAGATGAGAGAATGAGAAACCATGGCACAAGCTCTTACCATGTCTCCAGCGCTATAGCCATACTGCTGTGTCTGCTGGGAAGATACACCCCTCACAGACCCTGTATCTGGAGACTCGGGAATTTCACCACCTGAGAGGTCATCATGTAACCACTGTGTGCCAAACTGGTGTTCCTGGTTGGCGGGCACAGGAGTGGCCTCTGGCATGTGTGCTGAGAGATATAATTCCATGGGCCGAAAGTGGTCTTGATACAGTTCATAGTCCTCATCAACAAGCATCTCTCTTTCTTCGCCCATTTCCTCCAGTCCAGGACTCAGAAACTCCTGCATTTCCCAGGACTCCTTGCCATTGTCTATTTCTTTCTGTGAGGACTGCAAAGACTGTCCCAAATCTAGAAATGGTTCATCCACAAGTTCTTCTTTAAAATATGGTTCATCTCTAAAACCCTGCAAATAAAAGTTGCAAAAAATGTTAAACTACACTTGACTTAAAGCTGTACTATTCACCTCAACCAGAAAATCAAAATGCTGACATAATTGAGTATGCTGCCTGTACTCACACATGGCTAGCAGGGTCAGCCGCTATATTTCCCCACTACACAGCAGAAATAGAAGCTTACCTCCACACTGCCCGCAACTCAGGGGAAAGGACAAACAGTAAAATAAGAGGCAGAAACCTGTCCATGGCAAGGTGAATGACTATTCTAAAAGATTCATTATACATTAACCACCTGAAAATTCTCCATCAGAAATAGAAATTTTGTTAAGCTGTTACACTAAATATTTAACCCATGTACTTAATTTTAAAAAAGTAGTATGTCAATACAGACTCACTTCATACGAATATTTACAAGGGCAAGACTGCCAAGTAACACAAAGAAATTATGGCTATTTGAAAGTTCAAAACATATTCTCTTTTTCTTTTTTGCAGTGCTGGCAATTAATACAGGGCCTTGCTCATGATAGGCAAGTCCTCTACCTCTGAGCTATATACCCAGCCCTCAAAAACTATCCTCTGTAACTAAAATGTGGGCAGTATGTTTCAACTCCTTTGAATACAATTCTTTTATAATATACCATTTAATAGAAATATGTTGAAAGTATATGATAAATAGAATGCATTCAGTATACTTTTTTCCCACAGTTCACTAATCAGAACAGCTAGTGCATACTACTGAACCTAAACAGTCATCCACAGGCAGAAATTTTGAGTCCCTGGCTAATGCCTGATGAATATGTGGATTTGCTGAGCCTCTGACCTAACTCTGGGGAACCTGTCAGTGCTGGGTACAATAAGGCCCAATTCCAGCTAAGAGACCAATGATAATTCCTATTTTAAGCCCTATCTATTAAGTACTATCAAGTGTAAATTCCTGGGAAAACCTACTCTTTCCCATTGCCTTCTCTTCACAGCTAAACATTTCATGAAGTTTTTAAATTAATATAGTATACCAAATACTGTGTACTGGTTATTTCCAAAAAACAACTGTAGCCAGAGATTATGACATATCACGTGGTTATGAGATTTTAATAACAATGTCTACAATTTTAGAAGTGTGACCAACATTATAGGAATGCCTGTCAGTGTCAACATAGATGCCAAGAGCCAATTATGTCACTAGATAGTTGTTATCAAGCAAAAATCATATTCGAATCACAAAGAACAAAAGCATACTTTAGAATAAAAACCAAAAAGCTCTAATTTATACTTCTTACAATTATAGCATAAAGTACGACTCAACTAGATAACTCTTCTTTAGAAAGCATTCAATATGAACATTTTTTGTTTAGTTCCATTTTCTACAGCATTTTAAATGCATGTCAACTTTCAATAATATATTCTATCCCCTTTCCTCCAGTTTTGGGACTATGTTAGTGATACAAACTAAGGTATTGTTTATTCTTCTTAAATGCCTTACATCTTGCTTGTGTCATTTAACAAAACAATGTAACAGAAGGAAAAGATTACAGTTTTACAAGTACTAATAAAAGAGAGAAGAAAAGCCACATCCCACCACTCAAGAAGCTGAGGATCATGAATTCAAGCCCAGCCTGAGTATGAGAGAGAGAGAGAGAGAGAGAGAGAAAGAAAAAGAATTATTCAATTTGTATCTATTTAGCCAAGGGAGAGGAGACAGGCTTTTGTATTCTTATAGAAACTAGCTCACAGCAAATAATTCCAATGGGAAATAAATTTACTAAATACCTGGGGTGCTTCAAGTATTAAAGATGAATTTATATCATGAATTGTTTCTGAAAGTTCAGTCTCATCTTCATTATTGTTTAAATGTAAAACATAGCAACTTTCTTCTTTCTCATCTTCCTGAAAATATAAACCACTTTTATGATCAAGAAAATCCTTTAGTTTCAAACCCTCTTCTGATTAATTTTCATCTTGTACAAGTATACAACAAAATTTATGCAAATTGTTTTATTACAAGAAACTTTCTCCCATAATTAAAAAGAAAGCCATATTTAGATTAGAGCTTCTCAAATTTTAAATATTCCTTAAGGAAAAAAATGACCTACCCAGAATTAGACCTTTTATATATAGTTATATAGCTATCCACAGGTACAGGTTTAAATACAGTTAATGTATAATTAATGTATTAATATATACTTTAAGTAGGTGTTCTCATTAACAATATTGTACATCAGTAAAAGGCACACAGTACTTTGCCCCGTGTTCCTAACAAGTCAGTTCCACATTCAGAATCTGAACTCCGGCTGTCTGCCCTGAACCCCGTGTTCTCAGTGGCTGTACGTGGGATCCTCACTTTACAAAGCAGCAAGGTGGGTTTTGGTGAGGCTCAATAAACTGGCCCAAGGACACACAAAACTAAGCAAAACCCATAGATGTCCTGCTCAAGAGTTCCACTGCCAATTCTACCCCCAAGTGCTGAAAACTCACTGCAAAAAAGGTCAGTTCATTCACTTTTTTTTGATCTGATATATTTGAGGTAAGTTTATAGAAAAGAGAAGATAAAAATCACATTCATGGGTAAGATGAAAATGTATCATTGAAATTATATAGATATATATTGTACACCTTAAAAAAATAATTTTGTTCTCATAATTGTTCACGTATTCACAATCTTTCTGTCCTAATCAGACTTCGGATCTTTTTATACATATTCTCTATCCCTCCTTCTGCCGTGGATTGAATAAATGCCCAGGAAACATCAGTTGACAAGATATGCAGTCACCAGTTGTACCATAAGAAAGGGGCAGAGACCAAGACTGAGAATTCAGCAAAGATTTGGTGCCTAGTTCCTTGAATCACTATTTACAGCTCATGAGCAGTTTTATACAAGAACCCAGATATTAAAGAAGGAATTACTTAATGGTTAAAAAACAAAAAGTCTTGCAATTGACCTTCCTCTCAATGTCCTCACTAGTCTCTCACTCTTAAGTATCCTGGCAGCCTTGGACTCATGAAGGGAAAGAGGCTGGGCAAGCTCTTCCCCAAGATTATGATGTTCCAGAACAATCTCAGAGCAATGCCCCAGGGTCTGAGGGTTTGCAGCTCTCCCTCCATGAGAAACACCACTAAGGAATCCATGCCCCATTGATACTAAGTCCCATTTTGTTACCCTGTCTTAGTCTTCCTTGATTATGTCCTATCAGACTTAAATAGTTTGGAATTTTCCCATGTAATCACCACAATCTAGCAAATATTCATCAGGAAAAATCTAGACAAAGTATGTGCTACAACCTAAAATGCTAAGCAAATGAGGTCCCATTAAAATATTAGTAGTTTTTTTTTTATCTCCTTAATTTAGCCAAAAATCAAACTGAGTACTTCATTGTACCATTTATTGGCTATGACAATACACCAAATACACAGAAAGTCAAGAACTTGGTTAGCTATGTGGAACAATTTCAAGTGCTGATAGGTATCATATACAGGCATTTTTATCTGTAGTAGATGAAGAATAAAAAATATGATACTGAGACCAGGAGTGCAGATCAACAGCAGAACATGTACTTCCCATATTTAAGGGCCTGGATTCTATCCCTGGCACTGAAATATTTTTAAAAGTTAACACAAGAAGCCATATTGAGATTTTTCCAATGCAAAAACCCCATGTACACTTACCTATATCTGTATATGATCATATCTATCTATAGTATCTTCTCATCTAGCTAGCTATTTGAGCACTTATAGGACGTTACTCATGCAACAAGTTAATATATTTCATACAATGAAAGGTTTTTATTTTTGATTTATCATATATTAATAATACAAGGGGATTTCATTGTAATAATTCTATACAAGGTACAGTGTATCTTATATTCCCATTCCTCTTTTCCCTTGAAATAATTTTCTTTTTTTTTTTGTAGTACTGGAATTTGAACTCAGGACTTCACACATGCTAGGCAGGCACTCTACTGCTTAAGTCACACCTCTAGCCATCCCCAAAAGATTTTAAAACTAAGAAAAACCTTAGTTCTCTAGTTTTAACCATTCTTCTCAGTAAAGAAATAAGTTTGTAGAAGTAGTATAGTGATTGATCAAACTACTTGCACAATGCTTCTTAAAGTGAAAATCTCTGCATCAAAACAACATAGGTGACCCACTGAAGAGGGAGATTCCTCAACAGTACATTAGAATTCCTAAATCAGAATCTCTGAGGGCAAAGTCTGGGAAACTTCATTTTAACCATCTCCCAGGGTTTCTTGCATAGACTGCGTATCTTCAAGTTTGAAACCTACTGGGCTAAGCTAGAAAAAGAATCCAGGTTTCCTGAACAACCTATCATGATCAAACTCTCTGTTGTAGACACACTGACTGCATACAAACAAAACAAGACACAACATAATAAAACAGGAACACATAGCTACACAGTACTGTGGCTAAGAACACAGGGTTTGAAGATGCCCAGTTGAGATCATATTTCAGTTCTACCCCTTGCTAGTTATACAGTCCTGGAAAAGTTACTCAGCCCTCTGTGCCTCCACTGACTCATTTGTACTGAGAATAACAGAGGACTGCCCTTAAAGTTGCTTTGAGGATTATGTTAGTTAATGCTTGTAATGGGATTAAAATGCTGACTGACATATATATGTATATATATTTTAAAGGCTGAAATATTATCAAGGGTTTGTTGTTTTTGTTTCTGTACTGGAGAACTTAACAGCACCATAACTGTAAAGTACCCTTTGGTCATGAATAGTAACCTGACACAGTACATTCAATAGTAAGACGTCTTCAAGATGGTTCAACCGTATAGGAGTTCTAGATGCTAGGGCTTACCAGACATTCTGATGAGTAAGTAAAGCATTAAAATCTCATTGCCATATGGTTCAAATGATATGATTAACTGGATTTCAATGTACTTTGCCATCTCATCATTCTCAAATGAAAGTTAAAATGTAAAACTACTTATAGAGTGATGGTAGCAGAACTAGGAAGTTAGAGGCTAGCAGTAATATAACTATAATAAGTTACACGTCCATCAAATATAATCTTAATTCCCCCAAGCCCTATAAGATAGATATTACTTGTTCATGTTGTAAGTCAAGGATATTAAGAAACTTGCCCAAGGGCAAGCACATAGTAAACAGTGGAACAGGGAATTCAAGGCCAAGTGCATTTGTCTTTAAAATCCATGTTCTTAACTATCACACTCTTATCACATCCTATATTGACAAAATTCAATACTTACCACCAAAGGCTTACAGATGCCAAGGTGCACAACGCCCGGGGGCACAGACTTCAGTATTTCCACAGCTTCAGCAAGTGAGGTATTGTCCAAACAGCATTCATTGACCGATATCAGGCGGTCTCCAGGTAGAAGTTCTCCACTTCTTTCTGCAACACCATCTGCTACCAGGGAGCGGATCACAATCACTGATCTTGTGGGATCTAAAGGATCCTATGAATAATGCAAAGAGAACAATGAGTCAGTACCCTGAAAACAAATATGTAGGCTTTAGAAAATTTGTGCTTACCTTCATGAATCTGATCTTACTATTTTACTTCATATGCTCAGCTTTCTGGCATTATTCTTCTAATGAGGTCAAAGTAAACAAAAATATCACTCTGATAGCTTGTATCAAGGTGAAGGTATAGCCTTAACAGTTTCAATTACATGTCTGAATGTTCAACATATATAAACTTGTCTTTTAAACTTTTGGTGACTGGCATCTTGTTGGACCAAAGGCAAGATTCTCTGACATTCTCAAGCACTGTCATATTGTGGACCAAAGACAAGTCCGTCTACAAAGACTCTAGCCTAAGTAGGCTCTAAGAGGAGCACATTATGGAAAATGATACCACACTTTAAAGCATGTGCCAGTACAGAATCCTCTCATAAAACCACTTAAGTTCAGGAAAGACATAAAAAACAGAATATTTTACTGCATTAGGAAAGTGTAGTTAGGGCTGGAGATTTAGTTCAGTGGTAGAGCACCTGAGTACAAGTGTAAGTAAGGCCTTGTATTCAATTGCCAGTCACACACACACACACACACACACACACACACACACGTTTGAAGATAACATAATCAAAATTTAGACATAGCTAGGTGCCCTAGGTCAGAACTATTCCAATAGAAAGGAAACTCATGAACAAAACCAATGTGTAAATCTCTCTCAAGTGGGAGAGCTCTGTGTTTCTTATTGACATGTCAATACATTTGGTTAATAAAAAACAATTCTTAACTCCACTCTAATTTTTTATTTTATTAAGCAAACTGGTAAATAGTGCTTAATACATGTCAGGCTTGACAATCATCTAATTCACCTAATCCTTACAACAGTTGTAGGATATAAGTAGATTTAATGTATTAATTTTATAGATGAGGAAGTTAAGGAAGCTAGCTGAAGTCAGCCAGCTGGTAAGTAGCAGAGCCAGGATTCATCCAGGCAGTCTGGCTCACTAAGTCCTTACTCTTGATGGCCAAGCTCCGCACAATAATATTGGTCAGGAGAAACTGGGGACAAAGAGCTGTGAATGAAGAAGACAGACATATTCACATGGAACTCTTAGGCTGAGATTCAACTTCTCCTAATGGTTGAGGTATGTGACACTTACTGCTAAGATCAAACAAGGGGAGAGGAGAGATGCTCAACCCAAGCACAGCATCACGTGCTTTGGTTTGCCTGTGTGGTTCCCATCCTTTCGTTATGCAGTAACCATTCAACAAAAGCAAGAGACAACAGCATGAAATTCCACTGCTGCTGGCTTCCACTAAAACCTTCCTGATAGCCCAGACAGAATCTGCCAGGCTCTGTGTTAGAATTATGAGATTTTGCAGTTCACAAGGTGAGGATTTGCCAAGTTCCAGGCTCTGTTTGAAGTGGTTGATGGATCTTTTGAAGTTTTTTGACCCAGTTTTCTATGTTTCAGACGTCATGGTTCATCTTCAAAGTAGTACGCAGAATTTGAAGCAAATATACCATATTTAAGACAAAAGCTACACAGCCAATTCCTTGAAAAATGCCTTCAAAAACAATTTATCTTATTTTCCTCAACTAACCTTGCCTTTCTGCTCCCTTAGTCAAGAGATCCCTGGTAATTTTGTTACAAGCTCTAATATTTAACACCACATATTTATGAAGAAAATAAAAAGTAAAAAACAGTGAAGGGAATTCACTAATAAAGTATGCAGCGTTAAAATATAATTACAACAATGTTTTCAAGTAGAGGGAGCTATTGCATAAGGAGAGAAGAGAAGGGAAGCAAAAAGTGCAGTGGTATATCAGGAGGCGATCAGCACGGTAATATAAAAGAGCTGTCTATTTTGTCACTAGCAACCATGAATCACAGCACACTTTTCATTCTGAAATATGAAACCATTACATTTTAAGTTTGACACACTAATAAATAAGCTGTACAATTATGTCCTTCATTTAGGATGTCAGTTTTTGATGAAAGGCTTTTTTATTGAGGAGGAAGGGAAAGTACATAATAGCTTATTCCTCTCAGGAAACACACAGAAAGCAGCTAGTATTACTTTGGATCAATAACTGCTAAACTTTCTTAGAGAAAATTGTAACAATAAAAATATACCAAAAGCAAATAAATGATTTCACTAAGTTAGCTGTGAACAACCACTAGTTTCATAAAACACTGAATCAAAACATATGATTTTTTTAAACCCAGTATGTAAATGAGTAAGTTTTTAAGAATGCAGCTGACTGAAATGCTTATTAGGAAGAATACAGTTCTGTAACTAGGAAGATTCACCAAAAATAATGGAAATAGAATTCTACTCTGGGGAGATTAATAGATTTCATTTATTGTACAAAAGTCATGGTAGCACTTATGTACACAAAGCATGGTATTTTTTAGCTCGCTAATTACTGCCAGGTGTACTTGATTACTAAAACTTATTCAGGTCTAGACCTGTAGTTACTGTAATCTACTACCTCTTTTCCTGGAGAAGAAAACCCGAAGATAGCTTCTCTGTTGGTTGGAGGAAAAGACAAAAAAAAAAAAGAAAGAAAGACAAACCAGCCACCTCTGAAGATGTCCCATTATGTATAATTGTTACTGCCTTTGCTAGGATGACTTTCCTGACTGTGTGATTTCCCACATGGCTGAATGAAGTCCTTTAATGAGCAACAGTCATTTCCTTTCATGGACATCCCATGTAGCAGCCACCCTTCAAACAGCAGCTGCTGCTGCCTACTGGGGCAGCTGCTATTCTTGAGGCTTTTCTGAATGAAAAATGCTCAAACACCGATCTTCAGGCTGCTTCTCATCAGAAATGTCTAGTTTCTGGAAATGTAGTCCACCATGTCATAGGCGTGTTATATCAACCAAAATATTAAAAAGATATTATCAAAACCCCCTACTCGACCCTGAGGACCTACAAATGTCCCCATCAGATTTTATAACCTGTTATCATAATTTTTAAATCTCTCATTTTTCTCCTTTTGGTGAAGAACATTGCAAGGCACACTGTGTTCCAGAATGAAGACACTGCTTTAGACTAAATAGCCAACAGAGGGCACTAAAAACCAATTGTAGAAAATAAGAACTATCTGTAAGACATTCTCTTCTGAGGAAATTCTTTTCCTCTCTAGTCAAAAGCTTTATGTTATTATACATACTGTAATAGTGTCCCTATGGTGCCCAACTCAACCATTTATGAAAGTTGTTCCTTATAGCTCATAAAAATATCAAATTCCTATAATCAATCAATTACTCAATCAAGATCAGCAAACTTTCATCAGTGTACTAAAGCAGAAGACAGGAGAGGGGACTGGAATTCTATACCTCATCACTTATCTAGGAAATCCTGCTGAGCCACCTCAATGCTCTCTGTCACAGGTGAATGAAGCCCCATGCCTGAAGAAAAATGGTTACAGGGAATGTTTAAGTCTTTTGAAAGGATGCTAATGTTTGATATTTACTACAAACAGGATATTCCAATGCCCAGGGAAATCCAAGTTGACAACCAGACTCCTCTCTCCCTATAACCCGAGTGGCATCAGCACACACACCCCATGCAGACACTTCTCCTCTCTCACCCTTGCATTGAGGGGTGTGCTAGGCATGTCAATCTGGTCTCCCACCTCTTCTATCAGATCCTTCCTCTCCATTTCCACCACCACTATCTTGGCTCAGCTTCTCATTATTTCTTTCCTGAACAACTATTATAGTTTGCTGATAGGTTTACTGTCTCTAAATTTCATCTCTATCAGTCTTACTTTCTACACAGATAACTGAAATATCTTTAAAAATAAAAATGTGATCATAACTCCTCCTCTGCTTAAAATACTTAAATGACATCCACTGCCTCCAGGATTAAGACCTAACTCCTTTATCCTTTATGTAGAGAAAAACCTTTAGAACTGCAGTTCTGTCCCAGTGATACAGAACTACTGCAACTCAGGGACTGTCTCATGCTTTGGCTTGACATTGCGCAAGCTATCCCCTCTGCCAGTAATGCTCTTCCTGACCTGCTGCCATTTGTCTACATCTTTGCCACCAGAGTCAGCTTAAGAATTTCATCCACGCCAAGCACTGGTGGCTTACACCTGTAAATCCTAGCTACTTGGGAGGCTGAAATCAGGAGGATGGAGATTCGAGGCCAGCTTGGGAAAATAGTTTACAAGACCCTATCTTCAAAATAACCAGAACAAACTGGACTAGCGATGTGGCTCAAGCAGTAGAGTGCCTGCTTTGCAAGGGTGAAGCCTGGATTTCAAAACCCCAGTCTACCAAAAAAAAAAGTTCCCTCCAATGAGAAAACTTCCCCAACTCCCCAGAGGCCGTTAAAGCATTTGTGATGCTATAATGTCCATTAAAGCATTTGTCACAATATATTTTCCTTACCTGCCCTGACCTTTCAGAACTACCTAGGTTTTCCTATTAGATATAACCTTGCATTTTCTTTTATTCATATGTGCATACAATGTTTGGGTCATTTCTCCCCTCTTCCCCC